AGCAATAGCCTGCACGTGTTCTACAACATACCGTGCAATGGCTTTATCCACTTTCCCCTGGCTAGCAGTCCCTTGGTTAAAATCCAGCCGCTGTTGCTTAGGTGGAGGTGGAGTGGCGTCGGCTGAGTCTCTGTGGTCTTAGCTACTAGCTTCGTCCCAGCATGTTTGTTTTTGCAGATGTTTTAAGAGATTTGAATTACTGGTTTGGGCAGTAGATAGGATCTTTGACCCGCCAAGACACAATTTACATTTAACTAAAACGTTCTTTTCTTTGTGCTCGACAAAAGTGAAATAGTGAGAATATCTCCAGGTGGAGAAGAAACTAGACTTGAGCTCCGCCGCCGCCATGATAGTCTTGTTAGTAAACAACACAAACACGCCCACAGCCCGTCTCCCGCATGTGACACAGGAAGTATCTAAGTACATTTACTCAAGTACTGTACTTAAGTACAGTTCTCATCTCTGTTCGCCTGGCTGTTGACTATATACAAAAACTAACGGAGTAACGCACCATGTAGTAACGGTAACTGAGTTACTGAATTTAAAAAGTAATGCGTTAGAGTACTAGTTACTACCAAAAATAACGGCGTTACAGTAACGCGTTAGTCTCAACACTGGTCTTGAGAGGTCATCAACCTCCTTGAAACCTGGGATTACAGAGTTCAACTTGTTCCAGTAAACGCTCCTTACTTCGTTGAATGTTTGGCACTTCAGGAGGAAGTGCATCTCTGTCTCAGTCTCACCTGTCGTACAGTGACCACATATTCTGTTCTCTTTTGAGTCTTCCTGTTTCGATTGCCAGTCTGTGGTCACTGAGCCTGTACTTGGTTAGGATCTGTCTCTGCTTTCTCTCTCTGACAGTAGAGAGATATTCTGCCAGTTCATACTCTCTGTTTAGAGCCAGGTAACATTCTAATCTACTTTGGCTTTTAGTTTCTTCTTTCCAATGTTGTAAATAGTTGTCTTTGCATTGTGTTATAATGCGTTTGACTGTGATTGGTGTTTGGAGAGCAGTGTTGCTGAGAGACTGGTCAGAGTGGCTCTGAGAGGGGGCAGCTAGCCTCAGCACCAGCTGACATAGGGGACTCTTCTCTGGGGTTAGCTCTTGGCTTTGGAGTGGAGGGTGTCTCTGGGGCTGGATCTAAGGTGGTTAAAGAATGTTAGTGCTCTCTTTTGAGTGTTAATGATCAGTGGGTCTCTGCCTCATTCTGCTCTACATGCATTTGTTGGTGTTTTTCTCTGAACACGTCAAATGTATCTGCAGAATTCTGCATGTAAAGACTCTGTTGGATGTTTGTCCCAGCGGGTATAGCTCTGGTGACTGAGTGGACCCCATACTTCACTACCGTACAGCGCAATGGGCTGGATCACACTATCAAAGATTTTGAGCCAGATTTTAATTGGAATTTGGACATTATAAAATGTTCTCTTAATTGCATTTAGAGCTCTTCTGGCTTTTTCTTTGAGTGCATTCACTGCCATGTTGAAACTTCCCGATGCTGTTTATGGTTAAACCGAGGGTAGGTATAACTCATACTATGTTCGATGATATGATTGTTTATGGTAAACTGGTATTTGTTCTCCTGACATCTGGGGCGTTTTTGGAAAACCATGACATTAGTTTTTTTCATATTGACTGCCAGGGCCCAGTTCTTACAGTACTGGTCTACTATGTCCAGCTGTTGTTGTAGTCCTTGTTCAGTAGGAGACAGCAGAACAAGGTAATCAGCATAAAGCAGACACTTCACCTCTCTATCTAGGAGGGAGAGGCCAGGAGCAGCACAGTGATCCAACTGAACAGCAAGTTCATTTATATATTAAATAAAGTGGGACTTAAATTGCAACCCTGACGAACGCCTCTTCTCTGGGGGAAGAATTCAGTTTGTTTGTCTCCAATTTTAACAGCACACTTATTCCCTAAATACATTGATTTAACCAGATCGTACATTTTGCCCCCTATACCACAATGTAGAAGTCTATAATAGAGCCCTTCGTGCCAAATAGAGTCCAAAGCTTTTTTGAAATCAATGAAACAAGTGAATATCTCACCATGTTGTGTTTGGTGTACATGTTTGTTAACTAAAGTGTGAAGGGGATATCATGGTCGGTGGTGCAGTGTTTTGGAAGGAAGCCAATTTAATTTTTACTCAAGATGGATTGTTGGTTAAGGAAATATTGTATTCTTTTATTTAGAATGCTACAGAATAATTTCCCCAGACAACTGCTGACACAGACGCCACGGTAGTTCTTAGGGTCTGATTGTCTCCACTCTTATGAATGGGGGAAATGAGCCCTTTGCACCAGATGAGAACATCCTGACTGCAATACGATACTGAACAGCTTGAACACTGTCCCCTGCATCTCTGGGGTGCTGCATCTGAGCATTTCGTTTTTAATGTTGTCTGGGCCACAAGCTTTCCTTGGCCGGAGAGATTGTGTCTGTGTGGTCAACTCTTCCCAAGTCATTGGGAATTCAAGGGGCTTTTGGTTGTCTTTAATAGTTTCTTCTAATGTTTGGAGTTTATCTTTTGTAATACATTGATTTGAGTTCATTAGATTTATTGGTATGTCTTTGTACAAACTTTCTAAATGTTCTCTCCAGATGTCACCGTTTTGGATGGGTAATGCTTGTGGTTGTTTTGTGTTGAAGTTGTTCCACAGATCCCAGAATTGATTTCGATCAATGGCTTTCTCAATATCCTCAAGTTTCATGTGGGTATAATTTAGTTTTTTGTTCCTTATTGTACATTTATATTTGTTTAAAACGTCATTGTATCTAATGCGTAAGGCTGGGTTGTTTGGTTGCCGATGTTTTTCATTTGCTATTTTTCTCAGGTCTTTTCTGATGGTCTTGCATTCCTGGTCAAACCATTTGTCAGCGTTTTGCCTTTTAACAGGCTTCCGCTTTTGTTTGATTAGGTCAGCTTTAATAGCTGCCTTGTGAAATATCATATTGATATAATCAATGGCCATGTTTACACCATCTTTGGTAGGAACATATTGATTTTGGTCAAATAGTGACATGTCATTCATCAGATCAGGTGAGTTCAAGGCCATGGTGAATTTGTCTCCACTGTCTGGGGCCCATCTGTAAGTAGGATGTAATGCAGCTTACTGGGTTCCCTTGTTGTGTCACTCATCGGACCTGAGAGTTTAAAGAACACATTGATTTGGTTGTGGTCTGAAAAGGGGGATTGCTGTCTGACAGTGAATGCACTGATAGTGGAGGGGTCCATGTCAGTGATTGCATAGTCTACTACACTAGACCCTAGAGCTGAGGAGTATGTGAACCTCCCTAAAGAGTCCCCTCTGAACCTCCCGTTCACTATGTACAGGCCTAAGGCCCGACAGAGATGCACCATCTCTTTGCCATTCTGATTGATTTCAGAGTCGAGGCTGTTCCGATGGCTGACGGTTGGTGTGGTAAACAGGGGGGCTCACCAAATACATGGTGGCTGCCCTGTGGGTCTATGACATCAGGTTCAATTCCTGTTCGTCCGTTCAGATCTCCAGTTAGAAGCACATTTCCCTGGGCCTGAAAATAGGCTATTTCTGAATGGAGAGTTTCAAAAATGTCTTCTTGAAAATAAGGAGAATCTACTGGGGGTATATAAATAGCACACACGTATAGATTCCTGTCAGTCATGCCCAGGCTTTGATCTAACCTTAGCCAAATGTGTGATTTACCTTGTTTTACTTCTGAGATCTGACGGCAAAGATCTCCTTTATACCACACCAAGATCCCCCCCCGATGTTCTGCCCTGCGTATGTTTTAGATTTTATAGAAGGCACCATGACTTCATTATGACCTGGAGGACAGTGAGTGATGTTTCTGTTAATATAATTAGATCAACATCTTTGATAGATTCTAAGAACTCTGGATTCTCACTCTTGACCTCAAAGGTTGAGGAGTGGAGTCCCTGAATATTCCAACAGCTTATATGAAAAGAACGCATCTTTTTTTCAAAAACAAACAATCAAAATGAACCTGTATAGTGAGACACATATATAAAAAACAACAAAAAAAACAACAACTTTATTCACTAATATTACTATTGTACTGATTACTACGATAACATATACATGTGATGTCTTAGTTGGACAGAAGTCGGGTGCACAGGGTGTGCAGCATCATCCTGATGTCTCCCAGTTCAGAGGTAGCAGGGGGAGGGAGGGTGCAGCAGGCTGGGCTACAACTGCAGCAGAGCTCCGCTGCTGTAGGCGGGGAGGGAGACGAGGAGCAGCTGGTGCTGCATATCTCTGCTGCTGATGGTGTGCAGGGGGTGAGCTGGGTGAAAGTAGCCTCCTCTGGGTGTGTTGGGGGCGTGGGGAGTGGGAGGTCCAGGCTGAGCTGTTGTGTCTCCTCACAGCAGGGGTGGTGATCCTGGGGTGGTGATGGGGAGGAAGCGGTCTGGGAGGGTCTATAGGGCCTCTAGAGGAGGGGGTGGGAGGGGTGCGTCCCAGGGCTGCGTCTTTGAGGGTCTTTGCAAATATCCCCACCCTCTCTCTGTGTAGGTGGAGTCCATCATAGAGGTCCCAGGGGCCAATGGTTGAGTGGAGGGCCAGGTGGACATTTGGTAAGGTGGCACATCCTTTTCTGATCTCCATATTAATGTCATGGATGACATGAGGAGGGGTGTCTGTCCTAGGCAGCAGGGTGGAGACCACAATGCGGGTGTCGGGGAATTCCTTACTGGCCTGCTCCGCCATTTTCCTCACTGCCTCAGCAGTGTCCCTACGGAGGGTGTGCAGGTCATTTGTTCCCGTGTGGATCACCAGGTACTGAGGGCTCCTGAGGGTCTCCTTTTTCAACAGCTTCATGGCTTGTGGTGCTGCAGTGTTTAGACAGCACCTTTTCATCAGGAAAAAGCTTTCTTGGGTCCAGGAACTTCCCGTTTGAGTCAGCCAGCAGGACCACGTGTGGGTCTTGTTCTTCAGGCTGAGTAGAGGGAGGCTGGGATGCGCAGAGCTGGCTGTGGGCAGCTGGCTGTGTGGGTGTATCAGGAGGGGCCAGGGGTGTTGTTGGGCTGGGTGCTGAGCAGAGAGGGTGGGCCAGGGACACTGGCAGGGAGAGTCTGTGTCTCTCTACTCGTCATTGTGAGGACTGATGAGAGTTTCTCTGTCAGGTGCTGGACCTGCCTGGTGAAGCTCTTCTCTCTACACTCAGCATCCTCCCTCACCTTGGCTAACTGAACACGGAGCACACTGTTCTCCTGTTTGAGTGCCTCTACACTTCCTCTGAGGTCAGATGCCAAGGCCTCGTTGTCGCTCTTGAGCTGCTGCAGGTCCTCTTTAAGCTGCTGCAGAGTGTTGTCTGGGGGACCAGACTGCCTGGCCTGGGTCCGCTCTTTGAATTCTGCAAAGTCCAGCTCCAGCAGGGCCATACTCTCCTTCAGCCGATTGTTGGAGCTGGCCGGTGTGGGAGGGGCAGAGATGGACAAGGTGTTGGGGTTCTCTATTGGGCTCTCATCACCTTCGCTGTCAGAGGGGACATCAGAGGAGACATCAGAGGGGACATCAGAGGGGACATCAGAGGGGACATTGATCCTCTTTGTGTCCACCTCAGCTTTCAGCAGGGGGAATGCCTCTTGGAAGGACTCCAGGTTGGCTTCATTCCCTTGGACCATGACCTTTCCTTTGGTGTAGTATGTGATGGTGAGCAGAGGGTCATCTTTGTCAAGGTGTTCATCTTTACAGATTTGTAATCTGCCTCCTGAGCCGATGCCCTCTCTGGATACGTATGCATACTTGCTGCACAGAGTATCTTTCCAGATGTAGATGGAGTCAGTGAAGAATATGAGGTTGTTCTTCTTCCTTCCTTCTTTTTGTTGGGCATAGTCAGTGAAGAGGACCTCTGGGTTTCCACACAGTGTCTTCTCCTTGTGTTTGTCCTTTGCATTTAGCAGGATAATCAATCTCTCTTCCCTCTGCTCTGAGAGCTGAGAAGTTCTTTTTTGCATGCTGGACAGTTTCCATGGCGACCACTTGTTTTGTTCCAAAGATATGCTAGGCTAATTAATTAGCTTTTCTAACTTACGAATACTTTTCTTTCCCTTTCTTCTTATCTTCATGAAATAATTCACAGTTTATAATGTTCCGCTACCTTCTTCGGTGCAGCTCCTTCCAACAGTGGCAGGTAACAGCTGGCAGCCCACAGCTAGACAGTTGTCAGTTGAAAGCTAGTTAGTAGTTTCAACTAAAAAATACATCCAAAAATTGCGTTTCTTCCTCTGTTTTCTGTCGATCAATGTCGTTAACTCTTCTTTGGAGTTAATGCTGAAGAATAATTGCAGATTTTCCTATAAAATATCTCACTTTTTAGGTCCAATTTCTATATTTGTATATAGGGGAAACACTGCAGTCTTAGAATGAAAAGGGAAACTAAGCACCGCTTTGAGGAGCCACAGATTTACACTTGACTAGAAAAAAGGACCAAAAGAGGAAGGAACTTTTCTGTAAATTACTCAAAAAAATGAATGGATTTAATTCCATTTTTAGGAAGCTTAATTACATTTACATGAAAATGTTCCTGTTTTGGTTTTATTGAGTTTGAGCTTTATTACATTCTTTAAAGAAATGACCAGTGGTGGAGGAAGAAGTCAAGTGCTCGCCCTCCCGGTCCTCCCGATGGCCAGTCGGTGCCTGCCGGTGAGCGTGGAAGTGTGGTCTGCCGCAAGCAGGCAGCAGGAGCGGGGCTGTCAGCATCAGCTTGTAGACGGTATTTTAAACTCGATGCGCTCTGAAACTACGGGGCGGCCGAGGAAAAAAATGCACATGCGTTAATCGCGTTAAAATAATTAGTGGCGTTCATTTTTTTTTTCCCTCGCTCACTCGCACTTTGGCTGTGAGCTGCGGGCGCCAGATAAGCCAACATCCCCCATTTTCATCACTTACAGCGCCCATCGTACAGGGCAAATGAAACGTGTAACCGAGGTGAAAAGGGTGTTACATTTACTTAATTGTGAATATCGTTACATCAAGGCCGAAAATTAGGATGAACCCCAACGGTCAAAAATGTTTTTTTCCCTCCCAGAACTGCCAGCGCAGCGCCTCCACAGATCTGGCGCCCTAGGCGAACATCTATAACGCCAGTGCTACGGGCCGGCCCTGAGTTCATATGCAACTCGCAAATATCTTTCTCTCTCTCTCCTCTTCTCTCTTCTCTCTTTCCCTCTCTCTCAATGTTGGTACGCAAATGCGCCTTTTTTCAGATGACCCGGTGCTCTTTTTTTGGCGGAGGTGCGCATGCGCACCAGTTATGTGCAGCCCTGGTTTTGGTCCTGATGGAGAGAGGTTTTGGTCCTGATGGAGAGAGGTTCTGGTCCTGATGGAGAGAGGTTCTGGTCCTGATGGAGAGAGGTTCTGGTCCTGATGGAGCGCGGAGGGGAGGGGGTGAACAGTTTGTGTCCAGGGTGGGAGGGGTCGGCCACTATCTTCCCGCCTCAGGGTTCTGGAGGCGTGCAGGTCGTGGAGGGATGGCAGATTACAGCCGATCACCTTCTCTACAGAGCGGATGACACGCTGCAGCCTGCCCTTATCCTTGGCTGTGGCTGCAGCGTACCAGATGGTGATGGAGTATCCTCGGCTGTGCTTTTTTGGTGAGGGAGCAGATGTTCTGCTCCCGTTTGAGGTCCTGGGCGATGATGGTGCCCAGGAAGCATATTTTTTTAAATATATATAGCACCAAATTGCAACTAATCTATATCTACGGTCACTTTTCATATTGAACATGAGCTCTTTTATTAAATAAACTAAACGCTTTCATTTTAAGTTGAGTTTAGTGTTTTTGACCCTAAGAAACACTGATGCATTAATCAATAACAATAATCCACAGCTCCTCTCTCTGCTCCAGAGGATTTAAAGAATATATCAGCAGTAAACCTAGGGGAAACACTGACATTCAATATTATGTTAGAGACAAGTTAGTTATTACTCACATATCAAAGTCTTTTCATCTACAAGATGGAAGAATAGCTGGGTGCTGCCTGGAGAGACTGATGAGGAGTCACCGGCTGGCTTCAGCAGCTTTCCACACAAAGCCATCACATGTTCTGTTCCATAGTTTTCACTGTCCACTGGTGCTCTGTCAAAAGAGTGAACATCACAGCTGTCATGGTAACCCTTTGTTACACAACATACAACCAACATGCATCAAAAGTGACCCGAATTAGTTTAAATTGTATATATCTTTGCCATAAATTACCTCCAGGAATTCCTCAATTAACCTGTTTTTGATCAACACCAATTCTAATTTTCATTTGAACTTTCTTACTTTTTTAAATAAAAATCATGTTTGTATCACTACACTTCTAAGGCACAACATGGGTAACAAATTATCATTATTTCCGATGTTATTCCTAGTGTTTCTTTAAATACATTGTTTTTGATTACCACAAATCATTATTTTAATTCTCCAGTTCTAATTGATGAACTAAAATAGTTTATGCCAAGTGTGATACAAATTTAAAAATAAATAAAGATACTTTAATGATAATTTTGTTAAAAATAATAATTTTAGCAGAGATTTGGACCAAGCATGTATGATGTAGTAATACAACAACTATTTTAGTTCACACAATGTGACATTAGCTAGTCATGTTAGCTTGTAATATATAGAGCAGAGCTAACTAGCAAGTTAGCCAAACGTTAGTGGTTAGCAGTTTATGCTATGATAGCTGTTGGCTACTGAACATTAACAAACTGGATTCCGCAGTAAAAAAGCTGTGAAACTTTACAATAAGATTGGCGACAAGACTGTGACACCCTGCTGCACGTTTATGTGTAATCGTCCCGCGTTGGAGACGAGAGGATGGCGGCAGCACTGCAATAAGCTGTAAACTAACGTTAGCAGCCACCTTGTTAACCTGTATAGCCCGATTGTCCCGCCGGTGGGACATCTTGCAAGAAACAGCATCTCAGGACTTCTTAAAATGTACTAACAACCTATTAATGCTGCTTACCCACTTAACGGGAAGAAACTCAGCTAACTAAACGAAACACAAGTCTAACAGCTAACGGGGCTAACGCTACTTTAGCACATAACTGGCAAAAGCGATCTTTTTTACTTCATGCTATCTGCACAAACGTATCATATGAAAGCTGAGATTCCACAGATTCCCTTAAAATATATGTCTCATCACTCAAAACTCACTGAACTAGAAGAAGAAACGTAAACTTAAATACACAATTAAACATTCACAAACTAAGGATTATCTAAATACATGTTCAACTCCATTACAGTTGCAGGACTCACCAGATCTCAAGTCTTCTGTTCTCTGTTGACGTCCCGATGCTCACATTTAACGTGTAGATGTAAAACTATCCCGATATTAGTCCATAAACTCGTGAGCAGACATACAGACAGATGTAGCTCCGCAGGAGAGCCGCTCAAACTGACGTGGAAGTTTCAAATTGGGGATTGAAAGGCGCGGACAGTGCTCATTGGCAGGTTTTTTCACTGACGTTTATATCAACCAATCAGGAGTGTTGTGGACTCATTCCAATCCTGCTTGTCTTGTCTGCCGTTGTATGGCTGGATTCCATTTCAAGTGCCGTAGCATTTAGCGTTTTTTTTATTTGCCACTTTTTTTTTTTACAGTTAACTATTTTAGTATACTATGAAAACTACTTTATTTACACAAAATCATTTTTGGGTATTTCTGCAATATATTAAATTTTTTGTGAAGATGTTTACATTTATTTAACATTTTAGAGATGTTTTATAATAAGATTTATTTGTATTCTACAACAGTACAGAATACAGTTATTTTTTGTTTTTTTACATTTTGTTACATTAAATGTAAGGTTTTACTGCAACAAAAAAAAGAAAGTTGCCTTCATTTGACATGCAGTAAAATTATTATGTGTTTTTACATAGAATTCAATGTAATTTAACATTTAAGACAATTTAACAATGGAATTATCCTGTAAAAAAACAATAATTTCTCATCAAACCAATTTACTGAATAAAACCTTTATTTATATTTAAATAAAAGTAATGTACTCTATTTTTATGGTATTTACACGTAATATAGAAAAACAAGAAAGGTCTGTAAAATAATACAGTACATTTCTGTGAAAAAACTTTTTTACAGTAAATAATCCTCTCCTGCTGATGTTCAGGTGTATATCAGTATGTAGTGTCTCTACTTTAAAGAGTCCTCTCCTGCTGATGTTCAGGTGTATATCAGTATGTAGTGTCTCTACTTTAAAGAGTCCTCTCCTGCTGATGTTCAGGTGTATATCAGTATGTAGTGTCTCTACTTTAAAGAGTCCTCTCCTGCTGATGTTCAGGTGTATATCAGTATGTAGTGTCTCTACTTTAAAGAGTCCTCTCCTGCTGATGTTCAGGTGTATATCAGTATGTAGTGTCTCTACTTTAAAGAGTCCTCTCCTGCTGATGTTCAGGTGTATATCAGTATGTAGTGTCTCTACTTTAAAGAGTCCTCTCCTGCTGATGTTCAGGTGTATATCAGTATGTAGTGTCTCTACTTTAAAGAGTCCTCTCCTGCTGATGTTCAGGTGTATCTCAGTATGTAGTGTCTCTACTTTAAAGAGTCCTCTCCTGCTGATGTTCAGGTGTGTATCAGTATGTAGTGTCTCTACTTTAAAGAGTCCTCTCCTGCTGATGTTCAGGTGTATATCAGTATGTAGTGTCTCTACTTTAAAGAGTCCTCTCCTGCTGATGTTCAGGTGTATATCAGTATGTAGTGTCTCTACTTTAAAGAGTCCTCTCCTGCTGATGTTCAGGTGTATATCAGTATGTAGTGTCTCTACTTTAAAGAGTCCTCTCCTGCTGATGTTCAGGTGTATATCAGTATGTAGTGTCTCTACTTTAAAGAGTCCTCTCCTGCTGATGTTCAGGTGTATATCAGTATGTAGTGTCTCTACTTTAAAGAGTCCTCTCCTGCTGATGTTCAGGTGTATCTCAGTATGTAGTGTCTCTACTTTAAAGAGTCCTCTCCTGCTGATGTTCAGGTGTGTATCAGTATGTAGTGTCTCTACTTTAAAGAGTCCTCTCCTGCTGATGTTCAGGTGTGTATCAGTATGTAGTGTCTCTACTTTAAAGAGTCCTCTCCTGCTGATGTTCAGGTGTATATCAGTATGTAGTGTCTCTACTTTAAAGAGTCCTCTCCTGCTGATGTTCAGGTGTATATCAGTATGTAGTGTCTCTACTTTAAAGAGTCCTCTCCTGCTGATGTTCAGGTGTATATCAGTATGTAGTGTCTCTACTTTAAAGAGTCCTCTCCTGCTGATGTTCAGGTGTGTATCAGTATGTAGTGTCTCTACTTTAAAGAGTCCTCTCCTGCTGATGTTCAGGTGTATATCAGTATGTAGTGTCTCTACTTTAAAGAGTCCTCTCCTGCTGATGTTCAGGTGTATATCAGTATGTAGTGTCTCTACTTTAAAGAGTCCTCTCCTGCTGATGTTCAGGTGTATATCAGTATGTAGTGTCTCTACTTTAAAGAGTCCTCTCCTGCTGATGTTCAGGTGTATATCAGTATGTAGTGTCTCTACTTTAAAGAGTCCTGAACTCCTCTAAAGGGCATCCTCAGATGTCCCTCATGATGTATCACAGTGTTCAAATCAGCTGTTCACACACACCCCAAAACCTTATAAACAACATTATCACACACTTCGTACTAAACTATCTCAACTGTGAAGAGGTATATTCAGCTCATCTGAGAACAGCTCATGGTGTTCTTAATTATATTATTTGGTGCCGTTTTAATAAAATCAGCTGTTTTTTTACGGTAGTTTTAAAATTGGAGACAAAATACATGTCCTGTTCGATTCCAGTTTTGGATAGTCTGCCGTGGTTTCGTTCCATTTCAAAGAGCTGTTTGATGTTCGGCGTAACCTTGGCGCACTGCCACTACACATGCCACAACATCCAATCCCAGAGCTTGAAGATCATGCACGGGGACTGTAGTCCCAAATGATAGCTGGGGATTATGGGTAGTGTAGTGTTTTAGGCCATCCTAAAGTCCGAAATGTTTTCCGGATTTCATATCGCATTAACACCATATCCCTACATGCTTTGCGGCTAAAACATCCAATCAGCGAGCTTAAACCATAGCTGAGGATCTTGGGTAATCAGTTCAGTGGCTGTGTATCGCAATGATGCTCAAAATGTCCCATATAGGCCTACGTCTGTTTCCGGTTATTTTTATTTTGAAATTCAGTTCCTGACAGAGGCCAAAAAAGCCAGAGATTATGGAATTAAACAAATAAATAAAAACAAGGATAATTGTGTGTTATTGGTGAGTAAATAACAATGTGTTATTTAGAAAAGAATAACAAATTAGAAGGAAAAAAAGATTTAAAAAAATACAGATTTCAGTATTTCGAGACTCTGAGCCCCATTTATTTTCCTCACAGACGGCAAAAAAAGTCCAACATTATAAGATTTAAAATAAAAACAATAATCGTGGCTTGATATTGAGTAAGAACGTGTTTTTATGAACCACACAGCTTCCGGTCTTCCAAGACCTGACCGGACAAAAAGACGTGCTGCAGGCACGAAACATACTACCAATAGAAATACATTGCTTTAAAAATCGTTGTGTGACACGAAAAAAGGTGAAAATCCTGTTGGTGAACGAATCAATCAATCAATCGATTAAATGTCGTGACTATAACACGAAATGCCGTGAGACTGGGTTGAATGTAGTGAGGTAGAAATATACAAATGGAAATAGTCAAGTACATTTTTTTAAGCTACTTTACTTAAATTGAGAACTAGTGAAAACTGTACTTCAGATAAAACATTTGTAAAAAGACAAAAAAATTGTTTTAAAAAAAAATCCATTGGCTCTTTGTCAACTTTATTCAAACTATACAAGCCGTGTGCAGAGAGGTGGACAAAATAAAATGAACATCACACAGACAGCTGAGATGTAACATCTTCATTTCCCTCGTTTGTTAAACCACTGCAGCCTAATGTTTAATGATCAGATATTGTTGATTCTCGCAGTAACTGTCAATACATTTTGTACCAATATACAGTAATTAAAGCATGAATCCTGAATCTACCCTTTTAAAACGTATCAGAGACACCCATCATGTCTCCCTCAATTTAAAATGATTAAAACAAAAAACATGTATACAACATGCTTTTGTTGAAGATAACCTTTTGCTCCTTCACAATCCTTTGATTCAGGAAGATGGGTTGCTTCCACACTTGTTTTGCGCTCACACATTCATATCTCACATTCGACAAACCCCCCACCATGCACTCACCACTTCCCTCTGAAACTCACTCATCCACCCTTTCTTAAAGCTCATCAAAATACCACTATCCCCCACACTTATTTAACACATCCCAAAAACACCTTCCATATACCCTCGCCCCTGAAGCCCTACTATATATATCCACACTATCAAACACTCCTTTAATGCTCCCCATATCCTTAACTGTTATCGTGGTGTCATCAGCATACTGATACACCAAGCTTTCCTTTCCCCCGGTACCTCCACTCCCTTCACATCCTCATTCTGCTGCAGCAGGCCCGCCAGTGGCTCCGCTGACAACGCATACAGCATCGCCGAGAGAGGGCCTCCATGCCGGACTGACCTCTCTAGCCTAAACACATTAGTTAAAATCCCATTCACCTTAACACAACTAACTGCTCTACCATAAACTCTCCTAATCCATTCCACTAGCCTCCTTCCAAGCCCCGCCTTCTCTAACACCTTAAACAAATACCCATGATTCACCCTATCAAATGCTTTATTCAAATCTAAACTTACAACCACCCCACCTTTACCTCCCTTCATATAACTTATACTACTAATTGAGTCACTAATATCCCTGCCCGGTATGCTATATGCCTGCGCACTCCCCACCATTGTACCTATCACCCTCTTGATCCTATTTGCTAATGCCCTTGCTAACATTTTGTAATCACTATTTAACATACTCAGTGGCCTATAATTCTACCCTTTTTAAACAAAATACTGATCACCCCCGTTGATAGCCGGCAATTCAGCCCTCTCTTCTAAACGTTTGTATAGCTCCAGAAGTAGAGGCACCATGTTTCTTTTTTTCCAACCCCAAAAAGGAACCCGTACATTTCTCCTCCTCCACTAAATATCTAGCCCTACTCCTAACTATTGCTCCCACACACCTCGTCCTCTCTCTCTCACCCAACTCATCCCTCAACCTATTATATTCTCCTATATCTCTCCCCGTCTCTACCTCAACCTTCTCTGCCTCTTTATCCAACTCTTTTCTCCCTCTTATTTCTCACCCCCACCTTTCCCCCCACATGATTAGCTTAGACACATCCTCCATATACTCAAACACCACACCGATCATTCCACCCCCCCCAGCATTCACACCCCCGTTATTTACAAACACATCACCCATCCACCCCTTCTTAACATCCTCTACACACCTTTCATCCCAATGTGTCTCCTGAAAACAGATAATGTCCGTGGCACACAAAGGAATAGCTTGCTCCCTTCTGTCCTTCTTCTTAAGCCCATGTCCATTAAATGAAGCAAAAGATGTTGATTACGAAGAGGAAGAGAGAAATTAAATTCTCCATTCCTTCCCCCGTGTCTGGACCTGCCCCCTTGCATCTTGCGTTTTCCTCCCCATCGTCTTTCTTCCTCTGGCTCGTCCCCTCGCCGTCACACAGGAACCTCTCAGAGCCTCCTCTCCCATCCCGTCCTCACTCTCCTTCATATCCACTTTATCGTCTGCAGACTTTCTGTTGCACTTTTCCATGATATTCAATGTATTGAGATGCACCTGTATGAGTTCAAGTACAGGTTTAGCAAGGCGGTGAGAGATGCTAAACGACTACTCTGAGAAACACCAGTTCTCAGCTAACGACTCTGCGGACAGGTCACAAACTATAAGGCTAAGGCCTCACACTCCGTGAATGGCGACGCCTTGCTAAGCGGCAGTGAAACTATGTTTTAGATCAGCTACAGTACTAACTCACATGTTGTCCTGAAACTCTCCAGGGCATCTGGAAAAAGGGTGAGATTGACAGTCTATTGAGCCAACAGAAAAACAAAGGGGGCGGGACTTAGCAAAATGATAGGCAAGCATTTATGGAATGGAAAAAGGCTGCAAAGTTAATTAAGTGTTAATCGTGGTTAGATTTAAAATTCTAATACTCTACAGTTTCTCTGAATATGTGTTTCCTGCAGACGTCCAGCAGCTGGTGGTGGTTAAAGAAGAGGTTCCCCCTGAGCACAGGAGTGGAGCGCCAGTCTGGACCAGGGGGACGCAGAGCCCCCCCCCCCCCCCCCCCCCCCCACACATTAAGCAGGAACAGGAGGAACTCAGGATCAATCAGGAGGGAGAGCAGCTTCAAGGGTTGGAGGAGGCTGATGTCACCAAGTCCACTTTCACTCCTGTCCCTGTGAAGAGTGAAGATGATGAAGAGAAACCTCAGTCCTCTCAGCTTCATCAAAGACAAACTGAACACCTGGAAACAGAAGCTGATGGAGAGGACTGTGGAGGACCAGAACCAGCCAGGAGCTCAGATCCAGAGAGACAATTACAACCTGAGACTGAGGACAACCCTGAAGACTCTTCTGAACCTGGAACTGAAGACAGGGCTGATTGGAAAGAGACCAGAGAACCAGGTTCAAACTCTCAGAGAAATAAGCAAGACCCGGTCAGTGATTCAAGACGTAGAGAGAAACCATTCAGCTGCTCAGTCTGTGAGAAATATTTTAAACACGGAGGACATTTAAGGCGAGACACTACAGGTGAATAGGGTAATTTGTTTTACTTAAAGATATCAGCTAGAGATTTCTCCAGTGAATTACTTGCATTAAGACAATTGTTTTTTGTATTACAAGTTTTCTGAAATAGCATGTTTAAATATGCAAATGAGCCATCATCTCATTAAATATGCGCATATTTTAATACATTTCCGGAACACAAATCGGAACTTTGGATAAAGCCAGGTTCAAAATTCTTATTTCATTTTGTAGTCATATTAGAATCTAAAGTTCTAACAGAAGGGATTTTGGATATCTCTTTGTATCACTCCATAAATCAGAAAATACTGTCAACAGCCCTAAAATATCAATTTTCGCCATGTTTTTAGGTATAACATGTTATATAATTCAGGCTATGAATGATATATAAACAAACCGTTCTGTAAAAGCCTTCATAATATTGATAGAATTAAATCTGGAAGGTTTGGTGTATGTAAGTGCAACTGAAGTGGACATTTCTCACTCAGAATATGAGTAAAAACTCATTTTGAGAAAACGACCTTTAAAGATTGCAGTGAGGCGCTAGCTAAACCCTCTTGTTCTTTGGATGACAGCTTGCGCATCAACGCACTCCGTGAAGGTATTTCATGTTCGGGGTCATTTGTTTTTGTATAAACTTGCTTCGTGCAAGTAACAATTGTTGTCGTCTTCTCTGTGAATTTTTTTTCTGCTGTTCTTTTGCCATTTTGAGATTTAAATTTCCAGCGGAAACTAAACCAGGAAGTGTTTTAGCACATCACGTGACGCATCTGAACGAATCACGTTGTCAGAAATTGACACCAGCCAATGAGATTTAGTTTTTTGGTTTAAGACCCCTTTGTGCTTTCACGATTGGTTGCTGATACAAAGGAAATGACCATATTTGGATCCGATGAGATTGTGCAGGAGAGACGGAGCTTTCCAGCGATATCTCCTTTGACATGCTGCACACAGCGGTCGCGGTACTTTATGTTACGTTAGAATTCTAACTTTTGCTGAATTTAGGAGAAATCTACAGACGCAAATAGACAAACTATAGTAAAAAATAAACATCTAAATGTGTATTTTGTACGTTTTCCTTCCAAAAGCCTGAAAGAAAACATGTTATGGAATCAAAATAGCACAAAATCTCAAAATTGACCAGTGCATGAAAAACGATGTTTTTGCCTGCCGTGTCTCGCCTTAAAGGTGGGGTAGGTAATTTTGGAGAAACCAGCTCCAGTGCGCTAGAATTTGAAAATACACAGCCGGAAAAAAATCTGCCACTTCCTTACAGAGCCCCTCCTCCAACACACACAAACGCACACATGACCAATGAGGGCACGAGATAAGTTTGTGCATAGATGGAAGGCTGACAGGCCATCCAGTTACTTTAGCCGGGCCACATTTGGACTATGTGACTGTTGCCAGCATCCATAGTATATAAAGAACAGTGATCTACTTATTTATGAGCGACTAAAAGGCCTTAGGCCTATTACAGCCATATCCTATTGATTGAAATGATTGGTCGTGCTTTTTACAGTGCTACGGCTTCCACAGATGACATTTATAACCTGAGACTGAGCACAACCCTGGAGACTCTTCTGAACCTGGGACTGGAGACTCTTCTGAACCTGGGACTGGAGACTCTTCTGAACCTGGGACTGGAGACTCTTCTGAACCTGGGACTGGAGACTCTTCTGAACCTGGGACTGGAGACTCTTCTGAACCTGGGACTGGAGACTCTTCTGAACCTGGGACTGGAGACTCTTCTGAACCTGGGACTGGAGACTTTTCTGAACCTGGGACTGGAGAGTCTTCTGAACCTGGGACTGGAGACTCTTCTGAACCTGACCCTGGAGACTCTTCTGAACCTGGGACTTGAGACTCTTCTGAACCTGGGACTGGAGACTCTTCTGAACCTGGGACTGGAGACTCTTCTGAACCTGACCCTGGAGACTCTTCTGAACCTGGGACTGGAGACTCTTCTGAACCTGGGACTGGAGACTCTTCTGAACCTGGGACTGGAGACTCTTCTGAACCTGGGACTGGAGACTCTTCTGAACCTGGGACTTGAGACTCTTCTGAACCTGGGACTGGAGACTCTTCTGAACCTGGGACTGGAGACCCTTCTGAACCTGGGACTGGAGACTCTTCTGAACCTGGGACTGGAGACTCTTCTGAACCTGGGACTGGAGACTCTTCTGAACCTGGGACTGGAGACTCTTCTGAACCTGGGACTGGAGACTCTTCTGAACCTGGGACTGGAGACTCTTCTGAACCTGGGACTGGAGACTCTTCTGAACCTGGGACTGGAGACTCTTCTGAACCTGGGACTGGAGACTCTTCTGAACCTGGGACTGGAGACTTTTCTGAACCTGGGACTGGAGACTCTTCTGAACCTGACCCTGGATACTCTTCTGAACCTGACCCTGGAGACTCTTCTGAACCTGGGACTTGAGACTCTTCTGAACCTGGGACTGGAGACTCTTCTGAACCTGGGACTGGAGACTCTTCTGAACCTGACCCTGGAGACTCTTCTGAACCTGGGACTGGAGACTCTTCTGAACCTGGGACTGGAGACTCTTCTGAACCTGGGACTGGAGACTCTTCTGAACCTGGGACTGGAGACTCTTCTGAACCTGGGACTTGAGACTCTTCTGAACCTGGGACTGGAGACTCTTCTGAACCTGGGAGTGGAGACTCTTCTGAACCTGGGACTGGAGACTCTTCTGAACCTGGGACTGGAGACTCTTCTGAACCTGGGACTTGAGACTCTTCTGAACCTGGGACTGGAGACTCTTCTGAACCTGGGACTGGAGACTCTTCTGAACCTGGGACTGGAGACTCTTCTGAACCTGGGACTGGAGACTCTTCTGAACCTGGGAGTGGAGACTCTTCTGAACCTGGGACTGGAGACTCTTCTGAACCTGGGAGTGGAGACTCTTCTGAACCTGGGACTGGAGACTCTTCTGAACCTGGGACTGGAGACTCTTCTGAACCTGGGACTGGAGACTCTTCTGAACCTGGGACTGGAGACTCTTCTGAACCTGACATTTTCCAAGTCAAATCTGCATGTGCAACAAAAAAAAGAGGACAATTAGTTAGTCCCACGACAATTCACATGAGAAAAATCTGTCTGCATGCATAAACTCAGTTTGACAAAAAATGTTGTGACTTTGAAAGGTCCCATGTCATGCTTTTTTGGTTCTGACTCGTCCACTTGTTGTTATGATGGTTTTTCTGCATGTAAACGGTCTGCAGAGTCACAAACCCTCAAAGTACACCCTGAAGCGAGTAAAACTCTAACACAGAGAAGACCTGTCTGTGCTGCCCCAGAACGCCTCGTTGGAGATTTCTCTTTTTCCATTGTTTTCTTCCTGAGTACAGTGTCGTAACCATGCCCAGGTCCAAATGGACCAATTCGTGGAGCTCCTCTCACACACACACTCAGCCTTATCTTTTCTCAGCCGCGGCTCCGTGGATCTCCACTCACAGTTCAGGCTGAGTTCCGCGGTGTCTCGCTGTCTCGCAGACCCCACGCAGCAACCAGGAAACGACACCAGTAACCCAGCTCACACTGTCCGCTCCTCGAGTCTCAAAGGGCGGAGCAGCGAGCCCCGCAACGTCCCGCCAACACGGCACCCAGACCCCATGCAGCATTCTCATCCGTTTGTCCTTACTGGTGTAATTTCCTGGTTGCTAACAAACGCCATTGTAAAACATACTCACTGATGTTCAGCTATAACGGTGGTGGACCAATCAGAACAGAGTGGGCGAGCTGACCAATCAGAGCACAGTGGGCGCACAGAGTGAATACACATACTATACAGAGATGCTGGATGAGAAACCAATGTGAGTTTGGAACATTGAACAATGTAAATCTATTCTAGTAGACCTCAACAATGGAATTATGATCAGTAGAAATGGCCATGACATGGAGCCTTTAACCCTTTAAATTTCCATTGGGATGTTTTGACAGTTCCTGTTGAGTTATCAGTCTGTTCTGGTCTGAAAGAAGAACCAATGACTTATTAATATAGAGAATATTTACGATGTTTTCAGTTTTATTCTGTTCTGTTTAGAGATGTCCCAATCCGATCACGTGATTTTCAAAAGATCGGAATCGGGAGGGAAAAAAAATCGGGGCTTGGGATTTTTTTTTTTTATTAAATATTTTTTATTTAATGTTACAAAACAAAAATGACCATGTTCACGTCTTAAAGTCATCCTGAGACCTTAGTTTTGGTTTAAAATTACACAACATCATGTGTTGCTGTTCTTTTGGGCTTGTCTTCAGACCTGGTTGCTTATTTCTCTCAAAGCAACAGAGTGGGCGCAGTGTCTAATAGTAGCAGCTAACGAGAGGCTACGTTCAGCTGGTGACTCGGGACAGAGAAAATGTCAGGAGTTGGGAAGTATTATAAAATTGAAAGCGAAGGCAGTGTAACAGCCAGATGCAATGTTTGCAAGGCGGAGGTTCCGCGTGGTAGAAAGAACAGAGCTACGTTCAACACGACCAATCTAATACTCCACCTGAGAAACAAACACCAACAACAACACGACGAGTACACAGCGGCCACTCAGGTAACGGCACTGAAACAACCTTTCAGAGACTTTTAAAAGGAAAGAGAAACTGCCCCAGAGCAGTGAAAAGGCCACAAAAATAACAGCCAAGAGAGCTGAGTTCATCGCGTTGGATGACCAGCCGTTATCTGTTACCTTTTCTTTCTCTTTCTCTTAATGCATTGCATAAAGATCGGAAATTGTCAAAATCAAATGATCGGAAGCAAAAAAAGGTGATCGGGACATCCCTAGTTCTGTTTATATCACCCAACCGAACTAAAAGAAAAATGCCTTTGAAACAGACTCACATTCCTGCATTATTGTTAGTGTTTTACAGCAGATTACAATCAGCTCATTCAGAGTTCAGATGGAATTTGAGGATTATTCCTGCTTTTTGAAACTGCAGTCATCATGCGTTTCATTATTGGTGTTCTGTTCAATCAAAAATAACCCTTGAGTAAAGAATTGTAAAGACTTTGCACTCACACCTGCACACTTATGTAAATATATTCATGTTCATTCAAATGCTCAACTTTTCACTGTGATATCTCTTTTCAATAGTTACTTATCACTTTATTTTTGTTGTATTATTATTTTAATTTATATTCTATTGTCTCTTTGTTTACCTTGTGTGAATCCTGTTTTTAACTCTGACCCTGTTGCTGCTATAAACGCCTGGATTTCCCCGAGGAGATAAATAAAGTTCCATCTTTTCTTAAAGGTCCCCGATTACACTGTTCTTCATCAACATATCACAGGTCTCAGATATATCCAGAGCCTGTCTCTGATTGGCTGAAACACCAAACAGATCATTGCAGCATTACCCATAATCCCCTCTGTTTCAGCCCTGTTTCAAAAGAGCTGATTCTGGGTCCATAGCTTTAAAAACATAATGAATGCAAGAGAATTCTCCCCAGAGTCTCAGCTAAATGCTGCCGTGATTAAACTCCATATCATGTTCCAAACCACATCAAGGATTATCTCTGAAACAGTATGGAGCTCAAACTCTTTTTCTCTTGCCGGTTATACCACAAGGTGAGTTCCTTTCTACTTCCTGCTTCTTCACACACATGCTCTCCAGTACAGGTTAGCTCTGAGTGTTAGCGATGCTAATGTAAAACAAAGACCATATTACGTCCAAAACAGTCGCTCATTTGATTCTGATAGCAACGTCTCTGATTGGGCCGTGGGTCCACATCTCAGATATTACGTCATATCGGCAGCAAATCTGGATCAGCTCCGTTGTTCCCCCGTTTTTAGAGATGTGGGAACCACCTTGTGGTACAAAAGTGCATTTTGCATGACAGGACACTTTTAAAGCCCATATGTGTTGAATGGCGCCGTGTATCAGTGATTACATTGACTTGAGACCAACGCAGGACCCTAAGCCCCTCTCCCCAATTATCAAATTACATTTTTCGTGCTTTTTCTAGCATTTGGACTATCTGTGTTATATGTAAGTACAAACAGCCTGAAACTAAAGTAAGAGCACGTTATATTTTACCCAGCGGAGAGAGTCTGTGATGGGGGCGTCGTCCAGGCTGCTGCAGGGCTCCACTGGGAGGAAGGAGTGCACCAGGATCCAACTCTTCCTGGGATCACTGGGAACAAACTGAGGACAAGGAGAAATATAGGAGACGTAAATATGGTTGTTTTCTGTTGGGAAAACACTGAATGTCCTCTTCCAGTATGAGAGTAACATGATAACAAAGGTATCCCAACTGTAGCTGTGAACATGACAGGATGTGTGATCACCTAGAAGAGCATCAGGACTGTTTGAGGCAGATGATAGCTATGTGGTTAACATGATGATTCAGCATTATAGAGAGGCGAAGTCCCTCGGGGGAGCTCCATGGGACCTTATTTCAGAAAAAGTATGTAAAAAAAAAAGAATTACACATATGATGTTTGTCAATTTAAAAGATAATTTTACAAGTCAAAAAAAAAGAAATGTGTCGTAAAACTGTGAATCAACACTTTTTTGTGTGTGAAACGCTCAATGAACTACATCTCCCGTCTCGCACAACACACCAAGACGGCCGTCACGTTGGAACACTTCACTTCTTTCTTTCAGAACGAGGCGGAAAGTATTACACTTACGTGACTCTGGGAGTTGTAGTCTTTCTAGTTGCGTATTTTTCATCGTCTTATATTTCAACAGTTTTACGACAAACTGTGACTTTTTGACATGGAAATGATTTTTTAAGATTGACAAACATCAGATGTGTAATTCGTGGCACAATTCGGGATCGAAAGATAATCTTTCTCTCTCCATTGACTTCAATGCATAATTTCTCAGAAATAAGGTCCCATGGGGCGGAAGTAGATGGGCTGGACTTCGCCTCTCTATTCAAATGAATGTCCACTAGCTTGCAAAATCTCCTCTATAGTGATCCCTCCCTCAATTTGTTTTAGATTCCAGTCAGAAAGCGACCAATTTGTACTCTCCATGGGCTGATTTTGATACATTTTGGGTCTATTTGGCAGATTTAGGGGACTCTGGATAATTTGGATTGGTCAGATTGCCTATTTGCTCATTTGTTATGCTGCTTCAACTCAAAAAACGTCCCAATTTGGGATCATTAAAGTACAACTTATCTTATCCTTATTTGAAAATGTGTCCACAGTAGCGGTAATACTTTTCATCTTGTTCTCTCCATTTCCAATGGTTGCAACACTATTCATGGTAGTCAAAATCAGCCCACAGAGAATACAAATATCGCCACTTTATACTTAAAACTGACCTTCTGGGTCCTGAAAATGGATTCAGCATCCTCAATAACCCCCAAAACCACTCCTACAATGTCCAAATCGGCCAAGTTATTATTATGTTTGACTATTTTGGGATATATGCTAATTCATGCAACTTATGCTAATTGTGCTAATTGCCCAACATGCCGGTTAGCATCCGGCAGTTTTCTATGTGCTGGGGACCCTACTACACATTTCTATCATTAAACTTTTGGGGTACTCGACATTTCCGGGTTCACTAAGCTGGCAACGTGTTTACTAAACGTCAAAATAAGAATGAATAGCTAAGGTCGACATTTTGCCCCCAAGAGCGAGAAGCACATGTCGGCTAACACGTGCTTACTTTAGCTAACGTGAGCTAACTTGAGCTAGCATTAGTTCACCGATAATTAAAACAATTTTAAAAAAGTGCTCCGAATTGAAGGCAAATTCGACAAGTGTTGATTTAAACAGGTTTTGTTTTACATGTTTCACGTTCGTTTGAGTTCCATCTTATTCAACCAGTAAAACGTACCTGTTTCCGAGCTTCTGCAGGTGTGGTTGTCACAGGCGCGCCGGATTCATTTTAGAAGTGGGGGGGCCAAAAAAAGTGCGTGTGTTTGGCCCAATCCCAAACCACGCCCTAGACCTACACACTCCCCCTCCGTGACGGAGTGAACTCCGTGGAGTGACACATGAGGCTCCCTCCTGTCAGATGGAGGGAGTAAATACAGCAGCAAGCTTTGGGACAAACTCCCCTCTCTCCGGCAGAAACAGGAAATGCCGTAACTGTATGTAGGCCTAACAACGGTTTCAAATCAGCATCTCTTTGACAATAAATGTATATAACTTATATAACTCAAATAAAACTCCAAACATCTTTAATTGTGTTACTTTTTTGTAAAGCTCTTTTAGTTTTAAAACTGATGTTTATAAGCTTCTTAGTTTTTGCAATAGTCTGTAAATATACACAACTTTATAATAAAATGCACACATTTACCTTTTTCTAGACTAAACACAGGTATGATCCTAAGTTAAAAAAAGATGAGGTTATCATGAGGTTGTTAACATCGCAATTTATCACTATCGTTTAGTGGTTTTGCAAAGAATGAACCACTCTCTGTTTTTGTACCATTCTGCGTTGAAGTACCTTCTCTTTGCTCAAATAATCTACTAGCGGTCTCCTTTTTTCCGATAGTTAGCTGTACAGCTTTACCCGCCTCAATGTCCCAACAACAAACCTCCATGCAGTCGGAACCAGCCTGTTTCGGTTCAACGGCGGCTGCGGTGGGGGCGGCGGCGGTTTTGACAGTTTCTGCGGCCGCAGAGGTGCTGCTTTTGGGTTCATCTGGCTTCGCTGTTTCTATGATTGATGAAGGTCCAGGCTCCGGAGATGTGGATGTCAGGGATGTGACCTTCCAGTTGTTACATTTAAGTTTAGATTGACTGTATTTAGTTTTCTTCTGCGCTGGTTCTTCTGACATGTTTGCAAGTGTAGCTATATATTATTTCTAGATTAACGGCTGACACACACAGAACAACGTAACAAATAAAGTAAACAACGTAACAAATAAACAAATCTAAGCTTTTTTATTGGTTGTAATTTACATGGATACATTTGAATGGTGTGACAATGTCCTATTTGATTGGGTTAAAATGGACATATTCTTCCTGTTATGTCTGCCTGCTTTATTTTACCTAATGCAAAGTGACCTGCTGCTCCATCGAAATCGCATTGACCCGAAGACATATTTTGATTCCTAGCTTTCTAATGATATCAGGATTGTTTTTGTACTCCAAATATTATGCAAAATATGTCACATTATATAATGACTGTTACAGAGTCATCATTTTGAGAAAAAGGCCTTTAAAGTTTTCTCTTCTCTGGAATCCATCATTTCTCATCATCAATCATCATGATTGATTATTAGCGGAGCAAATGATCAAAATACTACGGAGGGAAGATATTTTCGTTTGGATTACTGCACTCACGAGAAACACCGGCTGTTGTTATGCCTGCTGTGACGTTAAGCTACTCCGTTCTCCGCTTGTAATTATGCCGAAGCTTCAAAGTTGTATTTATCATCTGAATTTGCCGAAACAAGTTTAATATTCTGAAAGCCAAGACTTTGTTTATTTGAAATTAGATGAAAACAAACTGTAACGGACCCTGCCGTGTTATCTTTACTTCACGCCTTACATTCATAATTTCAGCCGGAGGGAGGGGGAGCGGCGCTGCGGAAGAGCAGAGTGGCGAGTGAGAGGTGAGCTGTGGTCTTCCCTTTACAAGCTTAAACAATCAAAAATAAAAAAATATACACAGCCAGATCAGATCGCGTTTTAGATGCGACTTTAGAGTAGAAGGGAATTATTGAAACGGGATTTGTACAGTGTTCCGCGCCGCGTGTATATGTGTGTGTTTGTGTATTTTTGCGTTTGTGTATATTGTGTTTGTTTCCTGGGGAAAACACTCACGAGAAACACCAGCTGTTGTTATGCCTGCTGTGACGTTAAATTACTCGGTTCTCCGCTTGTAATTATGCCGAAGCTTCAAAGCTGTATTTATCATCTGAATTTGCCGAAACAAGTTTAATATTCTGAAAGCCAAGACTTTGCTTATTTGAAATCAGATCAAAACAAACTGTAACGGACCCTGCCGTGTTATCTATGATTACTATACACCTTACATTCATAATTTCAGCGGGAGGGAGGGGGGGGGGCGGCGCTGAGGAACAGCAGAGTGGCCAGTGAGAGCTGTCATCTTCCCTTTACAAGCTTCAAACATGCCTGTAGCTAGTGAGATTGAATATAGCAATACAAAATAACAAAATATACACAGCTAGATCAGATCACGTTTTAGATGCGACTTTAGAGTAGAGGGGAATTATTGAAACGGGATTTGTACAGTTTTCCGCGGCACAGTTTCATGGAAACACATCAGCTTTTGGACGACAGTCAATATGGATTCAGGAAAGATAGATCAACATCTTTGGCACTAATGGAATTAGTGAGGAAAGAGCAAACTGCATGGACAATAAAAAACAAGCAGTGGGAATATTTATAGACTTACAAAAAGCATTTGACACCATAGATCACAATATTTTACTGATAAAACTGGAACGGTATGGCATCAGAGGGGTGGGATTAAACTGGGTGAGAGATTATTGAAGCAACAGACAACAATTTGTTGAAATTGGTGAACAAAAATCAGAATACATGAACATAACTTGTGGAGTACCTCAGGGGTCCGTGTTGGGTCCAAAGCTGTTCATAATATACATCAACAACATTTGCAGAGTATCAAATATATTGAAATGTATTTTATTTGCAGATGACACAAATATTTTTTGTATATGAAATGAAGTTCCTTGGTGTGGTTTTAGACCACAAAATCAGCTGGAAACCTCATATCACTCAAGTAAAAGCAAAACTGGCTAAAACTATCGCAATATTGGGAAAAGCCAGATACATTCTGGACTATAACTCATTGTATACTCTATATAACACACTAATATTGCCATATCTGATTTACTGTGTGGAGATTTGGGGAAACACGTACAAAACCAACCTACAGCCGTTATGCACATTACACAAAAAGGGCTATAAGAGTTATCAAAAATGTTGGATATCTTGAACACACTAATGTATTATTTTTGAAGTCACACATATTGAAGTTAATTGATCTGGTTACATTTAAAATGGCACAAATCATGTACAGAGCCAGACATAATCTACTTCCTAGGAAATTAAAAACATTGTTCATAGACAGAGTGTTACGATTATTGTGTCATGTCACGTTTTGTATGTCTTGTTTTGGGTCTTTTGCTGTTCTCCCTGTCGTGTTTTCCTCCTTGTATATTGTCTGGTCCTTTTCCCTGTGTTTTTCCTCCTGTCGTTAGTTTCCCTGGTGTGTCTAGTTGTCTGATTGTGTTCACCTGTGGCCCTTGTGTTTCTCCTCCCCTGCCCGGCTGTTTCTCGTCTTGTGATTACCCCTCTCTGTATTTAGTCTGTTCTCTTCCTGTGTTCAGTGTTGGTTCGTCTTGTGATTTGGCTTGTCCTCGGTGAGTGTTGTGTTCTGTCTTTGTTAGTATAGCCTTGAAATAAAGGAATTTTCACGTTAATCTGCATTTGGGTCCTACCTGCTTCACACATCGTAACATTACGAACCAACCAAGAATGGACCCAGCGGACAGTTTGTACGAGGTGGAGTACAATTTGACATGTTTGAGGAATGACTTTAAATATGCCTCCAGTAGTGAAGAGAGGCAGTCCGTTTTTTCTGCGGCACGCCAGGAGGTAACCTCAAGGCCCTGGTTGAGGGAGTTGCTACCCGAGTGGGTGGAGGACTTTTTTGGCAGCTTTGAGGTCAAACCAGATTCCCGGCCTGCTAGCCCCAGGCATGCTAGCTCCATGTCTCCCAATTCCCAACCTGGCACCATACGCCTTGGTGGGTTCCGCCTGAAGTCAACCCGTGCTTCTGCCCCAGTTCCTGCTCCTGTCCAGGAGTTGTATTCCGGAACTCGTCTGGCTTATGGAGGTCCACGGAGTATTCAGGCGGCTGCTAAGAGGAGTCGTCGCAAGGCCAGGCTAGCAGCCCGAGCAGCCATGGTTCCGGCTACAGAACCGGCCCACACAGCCATGATTCCAGACCCAGTTCTGGCCCCAGCAGCCATGGTTCCAGACCCAGTTCTGGCCCCAGCGGCCATGGTTCCAGACCCAGCTCTGGCCCCAGCTGCCAAAGTCCCATCTCAAGTTTCCTCTCAAGTCCCCTCTCCAGTTTCTTCTCAAGTCCCCTCTCTGGTCCCTCCTCTAGTCCCTCCTCTAGTCCCATCTCTAGTCCCTACTCAAGTCCCTCCTCTAGTCAATTCCCTAGTCCCATCTCTAGTCCCTCCTCTTCACTTCTCGAGTCCCCTCTCCAGTCCCCTCTCCAGTCCCCTCTCGAGTCCCCTCTCCAGTCCCCTCTCGAGTCCCCTCTCCAGTTCCCTCTCGAGTTCCCTCCTTTAGTCCATCCTCGAGTCCCCTCTCTAGTTCCCCTCTCGAGTCCCCTCTCGAGTTCCCTTCTCTAGTTCCTCCTCTAGTCCCTCCTCTAGTCTCTCCTCTAGTCCCCTCTCTAGTTCCCCTCTCGAGTTCCCCCTTGGTTCCCCTCTCGAGTCTCCTCTCAAGTCTCCTCTCGAGTCTCCTCTCGAGTCCCCTCTCGAGTCACGTCTCAAGTCCCTACCCAATGTCCTGGTCCGTTGGAGGTTCCGCTGGGGGTCCTGCCAACTCCATGTCCTCTCCCGTTGGAGGCCCCGTCGACTACTCCTCTGCCGGGGGTTCTACCAATCGTATGTCTGTCCCGTTGGAGGTCCCGCCGTCTACTCTCCTGCCGGGGGTCCTGCCAGCTCCTTGTCCTGTCTCGTTGGAGGTCCCGCCGACTACTCACCTGCCAGGGGTCCTGCCAACCCTTTGTCCTGTGCCGTTGGAGGCCCCGCCGACTACTCTCCTGCTGGGGGTCCTGCCAACCCTTTGTCCTGTCCCGTTGGAGGTCCCGCCGTCTACTCTCCTGCCGGGGGTCCTGCCAGCTCCTTGTCCTGTCTCGTTGGAGGTCCCGCCGACTACTCTCCTGCCGGGGGTCCTGCCAACCCTTTGTCCTGTCTCGTTGGAGGTCCCGCCGTCTACTCTCCTGCCGGGAGTCCTGCCAACCCTATGTCCTGTCCCGTTGGAGGTCCCGCCGACTGCTCTCCTGCCGGGGGTCCTGCCAATCCCGTGTCCTGGTCCTCTTCCGTGGGGGATCCTGCCGAGGCCTGTCCCACCAGCTCCGACACCGGGTCCTGCCCGGCCTCCGGCGCTGTCCCGTCAGCGCCTTCCTGCCCGGCCTCCGGAGCTGTCTGGTCTTCGCCCTCGAGCCTGGCCCTCTGAGAGCCGCAGTCTTCACCCTCGATCCCGGCCCCCTGAGAGCCACGGCCTTCGCCCTCGAGCCCGGCCCCCTGACTTTCCCGGCCGCGGCCCTCGCACTCATGCTCGGCCCCCTGAGTTCGCCCGCGGTGGCCTTCGCCCCTCCATAACCCCCACCTTGGACTCTGTCTTGCCCCCGGGCCGTCCGCCCGAGTCCCCCTTCTCGGCTTCTGCCTTGCCCCCGGGCCGTCCGCCCGAGATCCCTTCCGGGTCCTCCGCGGTGCTCTTGGGTTGTCAGCCCAGACCCGTCCTCCGGACCCCCTCCACCCACCCTGGTGGCCCTAGTTTTCTCAACTCTGAGAAGTATGAGTATAACAATCTGTGGGGTGATTTTATGGAATGGTTTGGAGCAGGAGTTAAAACAAAGCACAAGCATAATTCAGTTTAAAAGGATGTACAGAAACACTTTTTTGGAAACATATGAGAAGGAAGAAAGGTGATTGAAGATGAGAAATTATTGTATAAATGTAAATCTAAGTAGGAATAACTTGCATAATGATTTAAAGGACAATTATTGATCAAGTAAGGGGTGGGAATTAATAAGCATTTGCTTCCTCCTACTCCCTTTCGGACACATATGATTTATTATTATTATTATTAATATGAAGACTTTTTTTAGTTTTCTTTGTTGAATATACAAATATTACCATGAATGTGGATAAATACTGTATTATAACTATACGATATTCTGTTTTTCACATTTTTTATTTGTTATTTTTTAATCTGTTCGAAATAAAGACTGAAAAAAAAAATCTGCTGCTGCGAAAATGTGGGGCAGGGCTGAAAAGTGGGGTGGCCAATGGCCCCCTGGCCCCCCCCGCTTCCGGCGCCCTTGGTCACTGCCCGATATGTCTCCCTGCCCTATCTGCAGTGCGCATGTGCGAGATGTCCGCCATATTTGACAACTACATACGGCAACTCAAGTAGGACCCTTGACACAGTGGCTTTTGGAAAAACACAAAATGAAAACTCGAGAGAGATGACTTATTGTTATCACAACGTGACTTCACTATTATTTAACAACTCTTTTTATTGGGTTCTTTTATTTGGGGTTACGTACATTGTCAGAATAAGTCAGAAATTGATTTAACTTCTGTTAGTCAGCTATATGTCATACATTGTTGCATACATTCACAGTAAATATGTATTCAGTATGATAGCTGTCTAACAGAAGTTAAATTAATTTCTCACTTAAACATATTATTCTTCCTAAAACATTTCATATTACAATTTGACGGTTTTGTAACCTCTGAATAAACAAAAGTATTTAAGCAGATTAGAAACCCTTATTCTTATTATTTGCCTGGGCTATTTGTTAATATTTCACCCAGTTGAGAGTGTGCCTAAAAATAAGCATAACCCAGCATGAATTCATTTTTATAGCGGTATAGAATAGGTGAATATTAAATATGTATTTATTTATTCGAAATTCAAATGTTCAAATGTTAAACACGTATACCCACAAACTCAACATTATGAATTAAGATACAAAATTGTCAGATTTCTCATGTATATATCATTTCAAATAAAATAGTTAAAATTATCCAAAAAAAAGTCAGGATTATGAAAAAAATCTGAATCTCCCCAAAATTCAGAAAAGTAAAAATTAAAAAAAATAATCAGACAAGTCAGAATAAAATAAATAAATAAGAAAAGTCCGAATTTTCAAAAAAAAGTGTGAATAGTCAGAATTATCAAAAAGATATCTGAGTTGTCCTGCAGGGGGCGATGATGAGCCGTCTGCCGCACTACTGACTGAACTGCAGACGAAGAAGACATTTTGATGTTTTGGAGGCAACAAAACAGACATGTCGGTCAGCTAACTCGTCTCCATGGATACAGTTTCAATACTCTCTCTATATATATATTATATTGTATTAACAGTTGTGATTTAATGGAGAGCAAAGCGCCTTCTCTGCTGAATGCGGTCCCTCCTTACGGACATGTTATAACCAGCGAGAAATGGAGGAATTCGTCCCTTATTCAAAGCTTAAAGGGTAAATACATGAGTTTACTTACCGTTTATTACGTTAACGGCCCAATTCCAACCGTGTTATCACGCTAACGTCTGGGGCGTTACGTGTGCCAAACCCCGTTCGCTGTTTTCATGTACATTTCAATCAAATGCAGACAAAAACAAGGTGTAGAAAATGATAATTCACATTCTATCTGTCAAATACTTCCTCTCATCTATTCCGCTCACATGTCCTCAATTTAAAACGTCCACAAAATGTAACCATAACAATCAATCTAAATATAAATGTTACATGGGAAGAAAGCGATGCTTGTTATTGGTGTTAATGCCGGATTCAATTATGTTCAATACGTCTAGTTAAAAGAAACTATGTTATAATTTATTGGTGATTAGAGTCATTTTTAATGTGTTTGGCCTCCTTAAAGTCATTGTTTAAATTAGATGTTTGTCATTATGCAAATTAAAGATTTAATTATTTGTTTTAATATATATATTGGGAGGGATGAAACCCTCTTTAATGGTCACACATGCAGAGCACACAGCACACACAGTGACATGTGTTCTCTGCTTTTAACCCATCCTAGTACCAGGAGCACTGGGCAGCTATTGTACAGCGCCCGGGGAGCAATGGGAGTGGGGGGTTGTCTGGTGCCTTGCTCAAGGGCACCACGACAGGGCAGGAGCTGAACTGGGACCTCTCCAAGTAGCAGTCCATACTCTAAGTCTGTTCAGGGACTTGAACCGGCGACCCTACAGCTCCCAGTCCAAGCCCCTCCTGACTGAGCCTTTAACTTGACTTGCTACTTGGCGGTGGTGGAAGAAGTACTCAGATAGTTACTGAAGTAAAAGTAGAAATAGTTTAAGTCCTTCAATTCAATTTGCTCTCAAGTACAGGGGTACTAAAATATACTTTAAGTACTAAAAGTACCCATTATGTATGGCTCATCTTTGTATTAAAGGATTGTATTTTACTGTATTTATTGATGCATCATGTGTTCTTCACTTTAATGTTGCATCTGGTAAAGATAGGGTTTATTTTTATTATTTTATTTACTGCTGGGTAACCTATAACAATACACCATCATTATTTTGTGGAATTAAAATTGTATTTATAACGTAAATCTGCAAAGTAGCTATTAACGTAAGTCTTAAATAAATGAAAACAGTAAAAGTACAACATTTGCCCAAAACATTTTGTGAAGTAAAAGTATAAAGTAGCTTAATGTGGAAATTGTTAGATTTAACATCAACACATGTATTGCGGCAAAAATCTTAAACAAAGTGCCGCGAGGGACTAAACAAGAGAAAAAACACTGTGGACGCGCAAAAACTCAGTCTTTCCAACACAGTATGCGTTTGACCTTTTATTTCCAAAGCAAAAATGCAATATTCCATATCCATATACGTATATCCTTGTATGCGTGCGTGCGTGCGGTCAACAAAAATTGTCCTTCTCTAGCTCACTCCCCCATCTATACAAAGTGCGCAGGTAAAAGCAACCGGATATAAGCACAAACGTCACCACACAAATCCAATGACACGCCCACCACCTATAGTGACTCAAAAAACATGTATCGTAACAAACACAGAAATGGCTTCATATGTGGCTACTACAACATGTTTGGAAAGTACAAAAGCTTCTCATTTTGAATATGTTGCTCTAGATGATTTCAAAGGCAGGTAATAGAGTTTTTAGAATTCATCAGATCGTTTCCAATATTTGTAGTCAAATCGGTTTGCTGTTTTAGTAGCAACGAAAACATTTAAAGAAAAAAATGCATTGATCACAATCTGATAATAAAGTGTAAACAACGCCCATCCCCTAAAACACATCCATTTATAACATTACATGATATTGAACCTGATTTCAAATCAAAGGGTTGTTCGACTCGGTGTGATTGACAGGAGAGATGATCAGAGGGACAGAGTTTTTACCACCTTTGTTGTTATAAGCACTAAAGTATGGGTAGAGTTTCTCTTTGAAGCAGCAGCCAGTGAAGGAGTAGATCAGAGCTGCAGCATCAACATCATAAAAGGAGACCAGACCCTCCTCATAATCCACAAACACCCCCACCTTCTGAGGCTGAGACTTCAGAGAGAGACGGACTGAAGGACCAGCACAAGCTGAGTACTCATTTTCATTCCTCAACACTATCGTCCAGTAACCTTTCTGAGGAGACAGTGAGATCTTTCCCTTCCTGTTGATCGACTCTCTGGCCACTCCTAGATCCCAGTCAGTCTTCCCTTTAACCTGAACCTCGTAATAACATCTTCCTGAAGAGAAACTCTGCTTTGCTAAAACACAAGTACAAGTATCAAATCTCTCTGGATTGTCTGGGAGATTCTTCTTCACATCAACATGTTTCACTTGTTTTCCATCAGCAGACAGGATGAGTTTGGGTTGTGCTGTATCAGGATCAAGAGTCACCTCCACCTCATACTGCTGGACCCTCTTCAGCTCCACCTCAGGGAGCAGCTTCTTCATCTGTTTACTGAGCGTCTCCTCCAGCTGAGTCACAGCTCTCCTCACAGTCCCCTCATATGAAGGTGGACGGACCCTGACTTCTGTCCAGTTCTTGGTGGGTGGAGCAGCGTTCAGGGACGTGAAGCTTTGGAGGAGGTGGAGCTGGTCTTCAGAGCGTGAGAGCTGCTCCACCTCAGAGCTTCTCTTCTTCAGCTCAGAGATTTCCTGTTCCAGCTCTTTGATGAAGCCTTCAGCCTGTTCCTCTGTCTCTCTCTGCTTCTCTTTGATGGTGTCGATGAGCTCGGCCTGGCTTCTCTCAACAGACTCCTTCAGAGCGGTGAAGACCTGAACACCATCTGCTATCTCTCTGTCTGCTCCTTCCTTACTGAGCTCCACTGAGCGATTCATCTCCTGAATCTTCAGTCGTCTCTTCTGGATCATCTGCTGAGTTTCAGCCTCTGTCTTCCCCAGCTCAGCCTTCTTTCCTTCATATCCTTCTTTCAGAGGAACAACATCATGTGTCTTGTGGTCTGAAACACTGCAGAGCATGCAGACACACACCTGGTCGGTCTTACAGAACAGCTCCAGCAGTTTATCGTGCTTCACACACATCCTGCCTTCCAGGTTCTCCTCAGGGTAGTTCAGCTGATGTTTCTTCAGGCCTGCTCTTGTCAGGTGAGGCTCCAGGTGAGTCTCACAGTAGGACTCCAGACACACCAGGCAGGACTTCAGGGCCTTCAGTCTGGTTCCAGTGCAGGCGTCACAGGGAACTTCTCCTGGTTTGACAACTTGTCGCTCTGAGCTGCTGCTGCTGGCTTTCTGTTGAGCTGACTGTCTGAACTGAGCAGCCATCTCAGAGATGAAAGTGTTGACCCGCAGCTCAGGCTTTATGTTGAAAACCTCTTTACAGTTGGGACACTGACTTGGGACATTTCTATCCCAGTGTTGAGAGATGCAGGCTTTACAGAAGTTGTGTCCACATGGTGTGCTGACTGGATCAGTGAACACATCCAGACAGATGGAGCACAGAAACTGATCTTCAGTCAGCAGACAGCTGGCAGCAGACATGTCTACACTCTGAGGACAGAGCAAGTGAAGAAACACAACTTAATTACACATTGTCTATTTGAGTCCTATTACGAACGCGAAAATGTTAACAACCCCAACGTTTTATGTTAGAAATGTATAGTAAAGGTCCCCAGCACATAGAGACTGCAGGATGCTAACTTTTCAGGAAATTTGCAAAATTAGCACAAGTTATGTTATTAGCATGAATTAGCATTCTCTACCAAGGGGTTAAAGATGGCTCAAATGTGCAGTTCAGATGGTGTATTTCTATGAGGAAAATGACAACGTAGACCAAACAACCAAAAACATTTAGTTTTTTTGTTTGCAAGAATTCGAAATGGAGTCTAAAAAATGATTTGTTAATATTATAAATAAAATCTGGAAAATCATAGCAGCATTTAGTTTAAACTCATAAAAACACAATGTGTAAGCTCTATTCATTTTGGGGGATTTTGCCATTGTTGAACAGAGGAGTGAAACCTCCTTGCTGAGCATCACTGAAGTTAATAGTTAACAGTAAACTTTATCAGCTGTATAAAGGCCGAGAGCAGTTATTACAGAAACAGTGCGGCTGAGAAAGAAGGGTTCAAAGCTCAAGGCTGCTCACCACAGTGTGTCACAATTATATTAGAAGAAATGTGTAAATGTTATGATTTTTATAAGAAATTCCAAAATCGTGTAACATAACACCAGATACCTTGCTTTGGACAGTCCAGAACAAATCTAACACTTAGATACTACTTTGTTTAATAAAGTCATTTATAAAGATGTTTTCAAATCCAGGAAATATGAAAATAAGTTTAAGCTAATGCTAGTTTTGGCTGCATTCTGTCTAACCTTCCTCACCCAGAGTTTACATTGTATTTTCGGCTGTTGCTAATTTCTTAACTGACACATTTCTATAGTATAATGTTCTTTATATGGTGTAGAAGATAACCCAATGTGTTCTATTTGAGACTGAAGGGGGTGTTGCATTGTTTTTGTTGCAGTTTATATATCTTATAATGTAATTTAGGTGAACTTCCTGTTTCATTTGTATGCTTTTATTTTGAAGGCGAGTTAACGCGGCTGACAGGAAGTGGTTGTAGCTTTGGAAACAACGTTACGGAGAAAGTAATATCTTCAATGTAACGGCGGAGAAAGAGAAGAATGGACTGTATGTGTTTAAATGTTAGCACCCCCAAAAGAGGCTCAAGCTCTCAAGTTGGGTCTGGAGTTACAAATACATTCTAAATCATCAGTAAAGTAAAGCCTACGACCAGTATTCGGAGGGAAATGCTACATATGGTAAAATGGATGTAATACAGTCAGATTCAGATTTCAATCCAGCTTTGACTAAATATGTAGTGAGTGATGTGTCTGTAGTGCACTCACCAGAGTTTGCAGAGATCCTGCTGTGTTGAAAAGAGCTACTGAGTCGAGTGTTTCTTCAGAGAAACAGAGACTGCTGCTCTGCTGTCGCTCAGACAATCTCCAGCTTTCATTTCTGGGAAATTGAAACTCTTCTCTTTCAGTGTGGTCCCTCCTCTCAGTGGCAGTTTGCCAAGAGGGAGAAGAGGAAGAACTGTTGAGGCTTGTTATTTAACTTTGTGACGATGCATTTTACAACTGATCCAAGAGGCTTTTCAAACAGTGTATTGAGCACAAGTAGGAATATGTTCTCACTGCATTTTCTCCTTCCGCTTGATTTCACAACAGTTTTACAGGCTGTGTGTTATGATCCCTGTTTAAGAGCAGCTGGTGAAACACTTCCTCCTCCCTGAACAGACTGATAAGGGTTTTTATTGGAGAGAACTGACACGTGATTGTTGACTCACATTCAGGTCAGTCTTAGTTTATATTAGAACCAGATTCATTTGTATTCACCTCTAGTTTTGGATTTAGATGTAAACGAACTACAGCTCTAATGTGTGTCAGATTAACTGATGTTGATTCTGTTCAGTTGTATTCTTTGATATGTAGTTAAATCAAATGTATATTTATGTTGCAATATATCAAAATGTATCCTAGGAACTTTAATATAATAATATAACAATATTAATGATGTGTTCCTGTCCTCCTTCAGTGTCTGCAGTGCTGCCGGCAGTCATGTTCAGGTAGAGAACAACCGGCTAAACGGCGCCCACCATGCGGAAACATCTGGAAAGGATCCGTTTCCGGGGCCAGAGACGGGACGAGTTCCTGGATCTGATTCTCCCAACACCTTCGACACAGAGAGCAACGAGGAGGTCGTGAGCAGACCTCGAGTCTCCGCCAGAGAGTCGGAGCAGCAGAGTGACGCTCAGGTACACTAACGCACCAAACAGAGAGAAACTCCAGGGGATTTTAGCCTTTGCAGACCATTTACATGCACTAATACTCTATAACACTACAGGAGAGGGAAAACCGCCCAAAACGCAAAATAGGTCCTCTTTACAGATCTCCAATTATAATATTTTTAGGCATATATTATAGGTATAGTTATGTATACAAATCATGTCTATTTAGTGTTTTGTTCAAAACACCAAACAGATCACCCATTCTATCCTCATCCGAAAATATGAAATACTCCGAAAAAAATATGAATCCCAGAAAAAAAGAAAAGTCCCAAATGATAGCTGGGGATTATGGGTAGTGTAGTGTCTTAGGCCATCCTAAAGTCCGAAATGTTTTTCGGATTTCATATCGCATTAACACCATATCCCTACATGCATTGCGGCTAAAACATCCAATCAGCGAGCTTAAACCATAGCTGAGGATCTTGGGTAATCAGTTCAGTGGCTGTGTATCGCAATGATGCTCAAAATGTCCCTTATAGGCTTATGTCTGTTTCCGGTTATTTTTATTTTGAAATTCAGTTCCTGACAGACGCCAAAAAAGCCAGAGATTATGGAATTAAACAAATAAATAAAAACAAGGATAATTGTGTGTTATTGGTGAGTAAATAACAATGTGTTATTTAGAAAAGAATAACAAATTTGAAGGAAAAAAAGATTTAAAAAAATACAGATTTCAGTATTTTGAGACTGAGCCCCATTGCTTTTCCTAACGGACGACAAAAAAAGTCCGACATTATACGATTTAAAATAAAAACAATAATCGTGGCTTGATATTGAGTAAGAACATGTTTTTATGAACCACACAGCTTCCGGTCTTCCAAGACCCGACCGGACAAAAAGACAAAAACATACTACCAATAGAAATACATTGCTTTAAAAAAATCGTTCTGTGTGACACGAAAAAAGGGGAAAATCATGTTGGTGAACGAATCAATCAATCAATCAATCGATTAAATGTCGTGACTATAACACGAAATGCCGTGAGACTGGGTTGAATGTAGTGAGGTAGAAATATACAAATGGAAATAGTCAAGTACATTTTTTTAAGCTACTTTACTTAAATTGAGAACTAGTGAAAACTGTACTTCAGATAAAACATTTGTAAAAAGACAAAAAAACTGTTTAAAAAAAAAAATCCATTGGCTCTTTGTCGACTTTATTCAAACTATACAAGCAGTGTGCAGAGGTGGACAAAATAAAATGAACATCACACAACAAACAGCTGAGATGTAACATCTTCATTTCCCTCGTTTCTTAAACCACTGCAGCCTAATGTTTAATGATCAGATAGTGTTGATTCTCGCAGTAACTGTCAATACATTTTGTACCAATATACAGTAATTAAAGCATGAATCCTGAATCTACCCTTTTAAAACGTATCAGAGACACCCATCATGTCTCCCTCAATTTAAAATGATTAAAACAAAAAACATGTATACAACATGCTTTTGTTGAAGATAACCTTTTGCTCCTTCACAATCCTTTGATTCAGGAAGATGGGTTGCTTCCACTATTGTTTTGCGCTCACACATTCATATCTCACATTCGACAAACCCCCCACCATGCACTCACCACTTCCCTCTGAAACTCACTCATCCACCCTTTCTTAAAGCTCATCAAAATACCACAATCCCCCACACTTATTTAACACATCCCATATACCCTCGCCCCTGAAGCCCTACTATATATATCCACACTATCAAACACTCCTTTAATGCTCCCCATATCCTTAACTGTTATCGTGGTGTCATCAGCATACTGATACACCAAGCTTTCATTTCCCCCGGTACCTCCACTCCCTTCACATCCTCATTCTGCTGCAGCAGGCCCGCCAGTCGCAGAGAGAGGGCCTCCATGCCGGACTGACCTCTCTAGCCTAAACACATTAGTTAAAATCCCATTCACCTTTACACAACTAACTGCTCTACCATAAACTCTCCTGATCCATTCCACTAGCCTCCTCCCAAGCCCCGCCTTCTCTAACACCTTAAACAAATACCCATGATTCACCCTATCAAATGCTTTATTCAAATCTAAACTTACAACCACCCCACCTTTACCTCCCTTCATATAACTTATACTACTAATTGAGTCACTAATATCCCTGCCCGGTATGCTATATGCCTGCACGCTCCCCACCACTGTACCTATCACCCTCTTGATCCTATTAGCTAACGCCCTTGCTAACATTTTGTAATCACTATTTAACATACTCAGTGGCCTATAATTCTACCCTTTTTAAACAAAATACTGATCACCCCCGTTGATAGCCGGCAATTCAGCCCTCTCTTCTAAACGTTTGTATAGCTCCAGAAGTAGAGGCACCATGCTTCTTTTTTTCCAACCCCAAAAAGGAACCCGTACATTTCTCCTCCTCCACTAAATATCTAGCCCTACTCCTAACTATTGCTCCCACACACCTCGTCCTCTCTCTCTCACCCAACTCATCCCTCAACCTATTATATTCTCCTATATCTCTCCCGGTCTCTACCTCAACCTTCTCTGCCTCTTTATCCAACTCTTTTCTCCCTCTCTCTTATTTCTCACACTACTATACTTAATGCTAGATAGATCAATCCTACTCTGTTTTAAAACCCCTCAACCACCTGCTTCCTAGAAAAAACCAGTCCATACACATTTCTCTCCCTCCATACATCCTTCATACCGTTATCCCTCATTACCTTTTGTAACATACCCCGTGAAGAATCACTTTTAAAAACACATCTATTCTCCCACACCACACATTGAAATCACCAACAACCATACAGTTTCCCCACACTTCCCAAACCCTCAAAAAACATCCTCCTCCCCTTTTCCTCATTCGGCACATATACATTGATTAGCTTAGACACGTCCCCCATATACTCAAACACCAATCATTCCACCATCATCCTCAACTTTCCTCACATTCTCTACCCCCCCCCCCAGCATTCACCCCCCCGTTATTTACAAACACATCACCCATCCACCCCTTCTTAACATCCTCTACACACCTTTCATCCCAATGTGTCTCCTGAAAACAGATAATGTCCGTGGCTCACAAAAGAATAGCTTGCTCCCTTCTGTCCTTCTTCTTAAGCCCATGTCCATTAAATGAAGCAAAAGATGTTGATTACGAAGAGGAAGAGAGAAATTAAATTCTCCATTCCTTCCCCCGTGTCTGGACCTGCCCCCTTGCATCTTGCGTTTTCCTCCCCATCGTCTTTCTTCCTCTGGCTCGTCCCCTCGCCGTCACACAGGAACCTCTCAGAGCCTCCTCTCCCATCCCGTCCTCACTCTCCTTCATATCCACTTTATCGTCTGCAGACTTTCTGTTGCACTTTTCCATGATATTCAATGTATTGAGATGCACCTGTATGAGTTCAAGTACAGGTATAGCAAGGCGGTGAGAGATGCTAAACGACTACTCTGAGAAACACCAGTTCTCAGCTAACGACTCTGCGGACAGGTCACAAACTATAAGGCTAAGGCCTCACACTCCGTGAACGACGACGCCTTGCTAAGCGGCAGTGAAACTATGTTTTAGATCAGCTACAGTACTAACTCACATGTTGTCCTGAAACTCTCCAGGGCATCTGGAAAAAGGGTGTGATTGACAGTCTATTGAGCCAACAGAAAAACAAAGGGGGCGGGACTTAGCAAAATGATAGACAAGCATTTAAGGAATGGAAAAAGGCTGCAAAGTTAAGTGTTAATCGTGGTTAGATTTCAAATTCTAATACTCTACAATTTCTCTGAATATGTGTTTCCTGTTACCTGCAGACATCCAGCAGCTGGTGGTGGTTAAAGAAGAGGTTCCCCCTGAGCACAGGAGTGGAGCGCCAGTCTGGACCAGGGGGACGCAGAGCCCCCCCCCCCCCCCACACACATTAAGCAGGAACAGGAGGAACTCAGGAGCAGTCAGGAGGGAGCGCAGCTTCAAGGGTTGGAGGAGGCTGATGTCACCAAGTCCACTTTCACTCCTGTCCTTGTGAAGAGTGAAGATGATGAAGAGAAACCTCAGTCCTCTCAGCCTCATCAAAGACAAACTGAACACCTGGAAACAGAAGCTGATGGAGAGGACTGTGGAGGACCAGAACCAGCCAGGAGCTCAGATCCAGAGAGACAATTACAACCTGAGACTGAGGACAACCCTGAAGACTCTTCTGAACCTGGAACTGAAGACAGGGCTGATTGGAAGGAGACCAGAGAACCAGGTTCAAACTCTCAGAGAAATAAGCAAGACCCGGTCAGTGATTCAAGACGTAGAGAGAAACCATTCAGCTGCTCAGTCTGTGAGAAATATTTTAAACACGGAGGACATTTAAGGCGAGACACTACAGGTGAATAGAGTAATTTGTTTTACTTAAAGATATCAGCTAGAGATTTCTCCAGTGAATTACTTGCATTAAGACAATTGTTTTTTGTATTACAAGTTTTCTGAAATAGCATGTT